CCCCCCCCCCCCCCACTATGGAAAGGATGTGGACAAGTTGGAGAGAGTCCAGTGGAGGGCAACAAGAATGGTGAGGGGGGCATGACTTATGAGGAAAGGCTGAGGAAACTGAGCTTATTTAGTCTGCAGAAATGAAGACTGAGGGGGGATTTAATCATAGCCTTCAATGACCTGATGCAGGGTTTGAAGAGGATGGAGCTAGACTGTTCTCAGTGTTGGCAGATGACAGAACAAGGAGCAACAGTCTCAAGTTGTAGTAAGGGAAGTTTAGGTTAGATATTAGGAAGAATTTTCTCACTAGGAGGGTAGTAGAACACTGGAACAAGTTACCCAGAGATGTGGAGGAACCTTCATCCTTGGAGGTTTTCAAAATCTGGCTAAACAGTGCTTTTGCTGGGATGATCTAATTGGGGTTGGTCCTACTTTGAGTGGAACTAGATGACCTCCTAAGGTCTCTTCCAACCCTAACTTTCTATGATTCTATGATTCTGCTTTGTGGTGAATTCTGAAATATTTGTTTTTCTTCTCTATTGGAAATGAATTCAAACTAGAAAACATCAAAATCCTCTGTCAAAAATGAAATGCTATTTTTTTTTTGCCATCCAAAGCTATTTTAGATCCAGCCCATTGTCTGGGATGTGTCTAACAACTTTGATCTATAGCAGTGGAACTCAACCTTTTAGTGCAGTGAGCCAGGTGCTTGTGAACCACTTGAAAGATAAAACCATATATGTTTTCATTCTTCTCCAAGTTACAAATAAACCCAAGTCAGGAAATCCAGCAGTGCTTACAAGTCAGTGTTTACTAGGGGTGTGCAAAGTGGGCTCTATTTGTTTCAAATTCAGCCCAAATCAGGAACAGTGATTTGATTCATTGATTTGGATCACTGTCTATGATTTGATTCGACCAAATCTGAATCTGAAGATTTGATGCCGATTCAGAGAAACAGATTCGGCCATAGACATAGCTTTAAGTTTTTTCTACATACCTCAAGGTACCAGTACAGCTTGTGAACACTGTGATGCTGGGGTGCATGAAGTGTCCCACAGGAGTGTGAGAAGTGTGTGTGTGTGTGTGGGGGGGCTCTATGTGCTTGGTGGTGAATCTGGAAGTGGACTGAGAAGTACTTCCGGTTCAATTCTGGGTCTGCTCGGGAGTACGTGGCGAGGGGCCCCCCATGTATGCCTGGCAATTGGCCATGGGGGGACCCCGGGTGCCCCCCCAGACCCAGGAGGCACCAGTTCCTGAGCTGAGAGGTCGGCTGGGGGCCTTCCAACATGCTCCCCGGCCGACCTGGAAGTGGACCAGAAGTGCTTCTGGTTCACTTCTGGGTCTGTTGCCAAGTGTGCTGGGGGCCCTCCTGTACTTCTGTGGGACACTCTATGCACCCAGCTGTTCCAACCACCAGTGGAGGGTTCAGGATTGATTGAGAGTGTGGTCAGGGGGTACAAAGGTAAGAAAGGTTTATTGACTTAACAAAAACACAACTATGCATAGTAACAAGACAAACAATGACATACAAGAATAATTCATGTTCGTAACTTATCGGCAGTCCCCTCTGATGCCTGATGTACAACAAGTTTCTCTTTCCACAAAACTCAGCGAAGTCAGGCATCCCCGATCAGCACTGTCCAAGAGGTACCGGGAAGGACCCTGGTATTCAGTCCTTGGGCTCCTTGAGATCCACGGGCCCACTGAGCCTGGTCAACAGCAATTAATTCTTTTCACAGAGCTGTATCTTCCTTCTGAATGATTTCTGGATGTTTCAGCCAATTTATAACTTTGAACTGTGCTGATAACTTACAGCTAGTCAGATTCTTTTTACTTCAACTGTCCTTAGACTGACCAATAGCAGTACAAGCCTTGCATTCTTTTGATAAGGTTAATTTTAACTACAGCCCAGGGCCTTACTACTTTAAGGCTTTGCCGAATTTACTAGGCCTTACTTTATACAAGGCCTTACTACATCTTAAACTTTAATTAGGCTCTTAGTAACATGTAGCTTAATATCTAAATGAATGACAGAAAAACACTTGATCTAATCTTCACAGAGCCTTCAGCAAGCACCTTTATATCACAGACATAATTTCAGCTGTCACATCAGCATCGCAGCAGTCATGAGCTACCTGCTACCTACAGGTATGTAGAAAAAACATTTAAAGCTGTGTCTATGTCTGAATTGCCCAATCTCTCTGAATTGATTTGGAGGGTTCCAATTCAATTTGGAGAGATTAAAGCGTCCTCCGATTCAATTCAGATTCGGAGATTCGGCCACCGAATTGGGCTGAATCTCCGCTGAATCAAATCAGAGACCAAAGCTTCACACAGTCCTAGTAACTAGAGACCTACCTCAGGGAGTTACAATCTGTGTCTGCACAAGATGCTGACTGTGCAGTAGTCTGTGACTTCTGTGCAGTAGTGTTGCATGGCAGGAAGCATGATGCAATGTTACTGGGCAGTAGTCACAAGCTATTGCGCAATCAGCATCATGAAAAAGCTGTTACTTGGCACGACAATGCCATAACTCCAGTTACTGCATAGTACTTTAGTCCTAGTTTATACAAATAATACTAAATGACTGTACAGTCAGTGTGTTGTGTAGATGTGGCTACTGGGGTGGAGGGGAGGGGAGGCAGAAAAAGGGGGAAGCGCAAAAGGGAAGAGAAACAGAAAAACAACTGCTGCCACAGCTGCATGCTTGTATTGGCAGCATGGTGCCAGCTGGAAGTTGCTGCTGCCCCTTTGTGTTGCAGCTGACTTGGGTGCTCAGCTGTGTTATTCTTCTGTCACCTCTGGGATGGGGGAGGGATGTGGCTGTCTGTTGTAGGGGAGGGGAAAGGGAGAGAGCAAGGAGGGTTGTGGAAGGAATCAGTGGCACATCCAGTGCAGGGCAGGGAACAGCCTGAGCTGCTTGCTCCTGATCCCTCACGCTGTGGGCCAGACCCAGACATACTGGGGTCCAGACTGGCTTGCAGGCCATAGAGTGAGCACCACTGACTAGAATGATTTCCTGTCTATTGCAGGTCATTCTGTTTCATGCAGTTATTCTTGCAATAGGCTCAATAATTTTTGTAGAACTAAAGCAGAGGTCCCAGTAAGGCGTCTGTCCTAGCTTCATTTGAATACATCAAAAAATGGGCAATCCACTGCATTCTTTGGTATTTTGTTTCAATTGTCAGTCACAATCCCAGTTAAAGATTTGTACCTAATTCCTAATGTGAATCTGTCTACTTTCATCTTCCAGTCTTTGGATTTTACTGTGTCCTCTGCTGGAATCATCAATAGCTTTGGTAAAAAGCCTTGAGGTTTACTTTCCTGGGAAAGTCTGACCATTAGAATACCCATTTCCTTTTGAATCAGAATTAATTTCCTCAAAATATTTGGCTAGTTGAAATGTTTCATTTTTGATAGTATCAAACTATTTTGTTGGGATTTTGATTTTATGGTTTTAATTGCATTATTATTTATATTTTATTTTATATTTTAAAATTAGGATTTACAAAGAATTATATAAATTATAGTGATTGGCATGCTAATTTGTGATTTTTAGGATTAAAAGTTTGTAGTAATAGATATCTTTGCTAGTAAATGGCAACTGGTATAAGAATAGAAAAACAATATGGTAACCTTTCTATAAAATAAAAAATTTCATAAAATTAATGAACAATATGAAACATCAAATTTTCCATTCCACAAAGTTTAGAATAAAACTCATTATACATTTTTTTCTCAGAATGAAATTTTTTCATGATAAATTCCTTTGGAAAAAATATTCTGGAAAATTCTTGGTCATCCCCATTCTAAAGAGCCCTTGAGTACCAGGCCTTACTATGGATGGTTCTATATTCACTTAATTCACTATATATGGATGGTTCTATATATACTTAATATACCACCATACAGTTTATTGCCTGGTATTCTTTCAGGTGACATCATAAAAAGTACAATTCTTTCTATTCTGCATGGACAATAAAAATCACATCTGTTTTTGCATGACTAATAGAGTCTGTTCCCCTGGAAGAAAGGTTCCTTTCCTTCTCATAGAAGGAACATGATATATTAGGCTGGTGCCATTGTGGACTTGTCTATAGCTGCATTTCAGTGGTGTTCTACTTGGTACTTTGGTACCTTATATCATAAAAGGGTTTATGGAAGTATAAAATCTCACTGATGATTATTTTGCTAGGCACCTGTTGCTCAGAGAAATAGAACCCTTTGGTCCCAAGACTTGTTTTTGCTCCAATCCCTGCAGCCAAAAAGAAAATCCTTGCATACTGCTCTGCATATGTTCTGTAGATTATCATCTAGTTGCAAAAGTAGGAGAGGAATTGCTTAATTTTTGGAAATCATGGAGAGGTGGGGCTATGAGTCAGTTTGTAAAACACCTGTTTATCTACTCCTGCCAGTTTAAAGAGAGCAACTCTGCAACAGGAGTCACTGCCAGCTGTGGGACCTATAGTCAAGTCAACTTCTAGACTTTGATTTGGATGAATAAAAGGCCACAATGGGGGGATTGGCTAGTACAGAAAAGGTAAGAAAAAGTACAAAAGATTCTTTTTAACTGAGATGTGCAGGCAGAATGAGGGCAGCTTTAATTACAGCGTGTCTCTGCTGCAGCATGTCTTGCTATTCCTCCTATACCTATTTATGTGAGGAATCTTTTTATATAATGTTTGTTCAATGGGTACCACTTGTGTTTGTTTTGTGCTTGTTCTAGACTACTTGTTGATTAATCAACAACACTGTCAAGTCAAAAGTTACCATGGTGATGGTCACAGTATAAAAATACATAGATAGTAAGAAATGATCTGAATTTTCATGCATTTTGAAGGATGTCCATGGGGATGGAGGGAAGGTTTAGAAGACCTAAGAAGCTAGTGAAACCTTCTAAGCATAGGTGTCAACATATGGTATAAAAAATCCCTTCTTCCTAGGTGATATGTCTTAATGTTTCCTGTAAATTTATTTATTCCTCTGTCCTTTCTTGATTGGTAGTGCAAGAGTGATGTTGTAGCCATGATGGTCCAGGAATTATGTGAAAGGCAAGAATTTTTTAGGATGATATCTCTTATTGAACCAACTGTATAGTCAGGATAGAGTTTGAAAAGATTTCAAATGTGAGGCAAAAATGCCCGTAATGTCCCACTAAAGTTTCATAAGACCAATATAGATGTTTTAGTTTTCTTGTTCTGCTAGATTGCCTGCTGCTGTTTGTGCAATATTCAAAGCAGTTGCATAAATTGCAATAGGGGTGGTTTAAATTAAGTTCCAAGATAGGTTGAAGAGTGTTTAAAACAGGGCTACAGTAGCTTTGGCTAAATGAAATCAGTTGCATGAACAATGTCACTGCTTTCTGTGTCTTTTCCATAGCCACCAGTAGGTACAAGTTTCTAATTAATTTCAGTATCTTCCAGCTACAACCTCATTAACAATGAGTGTATATTTTGATTCCTGATATATGAACATCAGAACACCAAAAATATCACACTCAGCCTCACAAAAAGTCTGAATTCTACAGATTGCATAATTTAATGGTTTCTGCAGAAGTTTTTTTACTTGTAGGTTTCTATTGGCCAAAACCATAAATTTAAAGGCTTGATTTTCAAAGATGGGCTATTTTTTGTGCAAACAATTGTATCTGCAGTTTTGTTCCTGTGGTTTAGTGCAAATGCAAATATTAGTAATTTAGACATTTAATTGTTAAAACTTGTGCTCAGAAACATAGAAATTGTATCTTCAGAAATGAATGGGTTGAGAAATCAACCTTCTGCATGGGAAGGATCACCAAACATTGCTGTTAGAATAATAAAATTATCAACCCTCCACAAATATGGTTGGTATTTCAAAGAAAACTCATAAAAGATCCCTTTGAAGACTTCCTTGATTACCTGATCTTTAGGGATTTTGTTCCTTATTGGATGAGTTACAATTTAGCTTTTTTGGATACATCATGAAGGTAGATCCAAAGGCAAGAACTCTTCATAAAAAAATGTCCAGCTGCCAGCCTAATCTAAGAGTTTGTAAAAAATATTTGTCTTAGTAGATTACTGATGCTGACATAACCAGGCGGTGCTTAGATTCCTAAAACCTATCCCCACAGAGCATTTTATAGGTCAAAACCACCACTGGAATTGCTGCACTTGAATATGAATAGTCCAGTGTAAAGTGTAAATTTAACCCTAATTCAAGATTTCATCAACCAAAAAGAATGGCAACAGAATTCTTTGGTAGCTGAAATTTCTAAACTATCTTCAGTTGCAGCTTCATGGATAGTGTCTTTGAAGTATTCACTTCCAGTTCATTAAGAAACTGACATATTGGTTCTCTATGAATCCCTACATAGAATATCTTTTTTTCTGCATACTACTAGTTACATAAAGGCCAAAGCAAAAGGAACATTTTTCAGTACATTTATGATAGGCAGTCTAGCCTGGAATTTAATGCATTATTCAAATTATGGTAGTTATGACATGACAGCCTATGAATTTACTTTGATTGGTGGAGATAGTAGGTCAGATCCTACTGTATATTTTAGGCCTTTAGGTGGCACTTAGACACATAAATGCTGAAGTGTGACCCCATGACACCCAACCATTAATATGTCCATCTCTGTAATAGTCTTAGTGTTAAGATGAAGGTGTAAGTCAAATAGCGGTGACAAGGAGAAGGGCCCACCCATCTTTTGTGCCAACAGTTTTTCAGGAATTTTAGCAAGGTAGAACAGTACACTTAGAAACTTAGATAATGAATAGGTAGACCAGTATCTGGCTCTGGCTCTTTCACACGTATATTGTCTCGTATTAATAAAACAGTGTGGTCGATCATCATACATTCTCCTCTTGAGTGGATCAGAAGATGCTGAATAACACAGCCATATTGATCATATAAACAAGCTTCTCCTTGGGCCTTTTAATGATTATGTGTGAGTGGAATAAATTATAATAAACAAATTGTCACCTCTTAAAGAGGAAGTATCCTTCAACTTATCCAGAATGGACGGGAAGAATGGTGGTTTGTCCAGTGGCTCCAGGAACAGCAGGGAGTCATGAGTCCATGTATCAGAACCAGAGTAGCAGAACCAGTCACGAGTCAAGAATTCTTAGATAATCAATACCAAAACATTTAAGCAGATAGAGGAGCTGACTAAGCTTAATCTGGAATTCATGTCATTATTTCTATCTATGTTCATTCCATGTCTTTTGTTTGTCATTTTTCAGCAGACCGAACCTTCTGCTTGTAACTTGCTCACTGTGAAAGTCATAAGAATGAAAAATGCACGGAAGGCAGACCTGTGTGAGTATCTTTCCCAAATTGCAACAGTGTGGAAGTGCTAGTTTTCATGTATAATCCAATTTATGCAACTTATCCCAAGTGTTTGAGTTTTTCCAAGGCTGCCCTGTCTTTTCTGAAGAAGAGACAGGGGAAAAAGCAAAGGGGAATGAAATCAGGAACACAAGGCTGTTGTAGAAGAAGGGAGAAGAGACTCTTCTCCCTTTACACTTCTACTGGCCCAGTGCAGGAGTGTGAACTGGAGATTCTAGGATTTCTTTCAGAGGCAGAAAGATAGTTTCTTCCCATATCAAAATCCTGTGTGAGGGAGACTAAAATAGCTTATAGGAAGAGGAGAGACATGAGTACTACCCCGAACTACTTCTGGACCCTGGACCTTATTACTATATTTCTGATAAGCCCTGTCTATATGATGTAACTGAGCTTACCATATTTCCTCAAAATTCCTCTCCATTTTCTTTCTTTAGACATCTTCAGTGCTCTTTATCCCTTCTTTTCACCTGTTTTTCTTTACGGTAAGGGTTGCCTACAATTGGATACTGCCATTTTTGATACAAGAAGACTTTTGGGTAAACAAATAGGCAATAGAAGAGTAGGATTACTGTCACCCTGTCCTGTGCTTATTCCTCTAGACCATGCTGCCTTTAAAAGTCATTATTTAATTTAAAAAGATAGCACTAGGATACCAGCCTGGAGTCTGGAACCATTATAGCGTAAGAGAAGTTATGCCTATGGAACTGGGGGGCCTGCTCGGGGCTGATCTCTGTGTGGCCCGACCACCTGTTCTTGGGCCAACCGCCTGCTTTCTCGCCCGCCACGCCTTGATCTTAATTGATTAATAAAGTTGTTAATTAAGCGGGAGGCTGCCCATTTTCTGCCCTGATGCCAGGGGGTGCTATCTGCGGCGCCATTCCTCCCCTATACCACAGCACAAGCCTTGCTGATGGCATCTAGGTGTTCCTGTCATCACCACCCCACACTGGGCCCCAGAATCCTTCTGACTGAACCCCAACCTAGAGTCCTCTCATCAGGCGGCCCCACCCACCTTCATACAGGCTATGTAGCTCCCTGAAGCCATTTTCCCTTTCGGGTGTGGTCCCCCCAGGGACCTTTGGCTACCAGCCTTGGCCCACCTTCAGGCCAGTGGGAACCCCAGGCCCTCGGCTCTCAGGTGTCCCTCGCGGCGGGCCCCTGGCCCTTTTGACCGGTTTGGTCCTGGCCCCAGCATGGGCCAGCCAAGTGTACTCTCTCGATCTGTACCGAGTCTCTAGCCCCTCACTCTCTCCAGGGGTCCACCCTCTGGGCCCTCCACATAAAAGGGTTACCCATCTGGTGGTGGGGACTAGGGATTAAGGTGCCCCGACCCACCTTTCACCAGGGTGATCACTGGCCTGGCATTTCCTGGGGGCTCCTGCACCACTGAGAGCCCCACCAGGCCACCCACTCCCAGCAGGGTGCAGTTTTAGGTTGTACCCAGGCCCAGGAGCCTCCTACCATCCCCTACAGCTCCTCCCTTACATCCGAATGAAACTCAGCAGCCCTCTGGCCAGGCAGTGTTGTTGCCTGACCCCTTGCAGCTAAACTGGCCTGTTTATATGGGCAGCCCTGAACCTAAAATGGCTGCCTTCATTAGGCACCTGGTGGCTGCCAGCTCCAGGGCCTTAAAGTGGCAGGCACACACAGTGCCCTGCCATAGCCTACCAAACTGCAGCCACTTCACCTTATTCTATGCAATGTATACAAGTTACTGCCTGCAAATTAAAGCTGAAAATATTTAATCAAAAACTTCTCCAGGCTATTCACGTATAGTGACAATACGCAATTACAAATAATGAGATGGACTACTACAAGGAAAAAGAAACCATACTCTAAAAAGAGAGCTTTACTGGATTGGGTGTTCTTCACATTTACTTCCTAAAGAAAAAAATTACAAGGTGCAAATGATAAAGAAGAGAAATAGAAACAATATTTTTTGAGGGGGAGGGAGAAGCTTAACCCCTGTGATGAAGGAAGCCATGGCAATGAGCAAGGATGGGGGGCTCCTCCATCAGTGTCCTTGGGGACTTCTTGCAGTGTTACTGTTTTGTAACGTTGAGATGAAATTGGCTTCACTAAAGTCAAATCCTTGTGTATTGCACTGACTAATTCTACTCCCTCCTACAAATTCTTGTAGATTGAATACCATTTCACCTATGAGCTAACTTGCACAGGCATAACATTTTAGATTCTTAAAGCCAATCCCCTCAACCTTGATCCTCTTTTGTAGTCTTCTTCTCTGAAACTCTCCATTTTGCCTGTATCTTTTGAATATCTTGGCAACTAGTATACGCCTCCTTGCTAGGTAATGTGTAATGGTTTTGTATGTGCGTGGAATGCAAAAGTGTGTTGGCTTTTTATGCAGCATGTCATATTGCCAGTACAAATCTAATCTACTTTCCATTACCATCCTCAGATCCCTTTCCAGCTCACTCTCTTCAAAGCAGTATCTGATGATTTTTTCCCCAGGACCTCTAACTTGTATTTGTTTTCTTCTTATGTTCCTAATTTCTCAAGGCCTCTTCATATGACATATCTGTCCTAGCTGTTGATTAGGACTCCTGCCAGTTCAGTCTTCACATGTTAATTTTGTTACTGCACTGATTAGATCATTAATGGACATGACAAATAACATTGTATTACTACTAGTCATTCAATGCTTTGCTATCAATTCCTGCCAGCTGGATACATTGGATTTATCATCACCATTTCTTCATTTTCCCTTTAGTGACTGTTCAGTGCCTGTGGAAAGTGTTTTTATACAAGTCAATTTGAATTATTTATATGTTTTATATAGAATCTTCCAAGTATCTGCCTGTTACTGTACCTTTCCCCTTAGTGTCCAGATATCATGCAAATTAAATTTATTTATGCCAATTTACACCAGTTTATCTGTATATTACATCACCATTTTGGTCATCTGTAATTTGACCCAATGTCTTCACTTTAGATGTTCTCTCTGTATACTCTCCTAAATTGCCCATCAATGAGTGTTGGTTGCTTATGATTTAAATGTTAATGCAGATTTAATCATCATAATATTTTCTTATGAATAGCGCCTAGGTTACATGGCAAGAATTGCTTTGTGCTTTTCTGAGTTGTGTTGATGTTCAAAGAACAGCCAGCTAGTATACCGTGCCCTGATATATTGGCCTATTAGTGTCATACACTGGTATACATTACTGCCACTTGGATGCTTCCCTCTTATATTTGCCGTAGATTTAATGTTTGCCTCTTCTTGAGGATACACAGTTATTCAGTATACAGACACAGACAGATGCATGCCATGCTATCTGAAATATACCAGAGGAGTGGATTTTGGACCCAGGGTGGCTTAATTTTTTTTCTTTAAAATTCCTGCTCTGATGAAAAATGCAGATTTCCTCAACTGAAATGTTTTAAAAAACACATGCCAATTTACAATCAGTAATTTTCAGTTGTTCAAGAGAACATTTTTTTAAAATCATCTTGAATTTTTTTATTTTGAAAATTTTCTGAAATTTCAATGTGCAAAATTACAAAATTGCAAAATTTTATTTTGGAATTGTGACACATGGCTGTTAATTTCATTTAAATGTTTTATTTTTATGGGGGGTTTTTAAATTATTTTTCATTCTCTCTTGGCATGGCAGTATCAGTAGATCATAATGTGGGTATAAACTATGTAATTGTGATCCTGGAATGAAAGATGTAAATTTCAAATGACTGTTTATCATTTGGTTGATGAATAGTGGTTAAAGGAGATTCTTATTGTGGCAGCTGAGTTCTTGCTCTATTGCTACTGTGTTGTGTTATTGGTTATGTGTATTACCATGGGACCTAGGGAACCACAGCCCCATGGTGTTAGGAACTTTATAAACAAGACAAACAGATTATCATGTAAGTATAAGACAAGAGACAACAGATGGATAAAGACTGATGTGGGAGTAAATAATGGAAGGAAGTAGTGACATAAAATGAATCAGTGTGGTTGACCTAGTTATGGGGGTATTTTCATGGATCACTGACCAAGCATGAGGGGCACCATGGAAGTAAGCACTAAAATTTACAAGTGGGAGATGGAAGCTGCCATCATAGGCAGATTGGAGGCAGGGAGTGACCACTCAATTTCATAAGAATTGTGATAGGTAGAGTGGGAATAGACCATAAAGGGTCTTGAAAGTGAAGACAGTAATTTATATTTCATGTGATAGAGAATGAAAAGCAAGTAGAAGCTTTCCAAGAGATGGGTGGCAAGGTCAAATCAATAAACAGGACAGCAGGGACCAACCTTTTTTTGGCAGGCATGCCACAAATTAAGCTTGTCCCTCACCCTGACTACCACTCCAATCCCCATCCCCATCCCAATCAGATGCTTTGCTTTCTGCTCACTGTCCTTTCTGCCACTGTTCTGCCTGATCTGCTACATGCCACACACAGAGGCTGCCTGTTGCACTTGTGACGTATTGTAGGTTGGCCACCTGTGAGCTAGTACATAATCTTTCTGGCAACCTTATAAATGGTTAGCAATGAGCAACAAGGTTATATTTGTCTATGGAAAAGAAAGGATATTGTAATATTTGAGATACATCCTGGAAAAGGTACAATGAATGGTGCCTAGTGTTGTTGTGCAGTGGAAGACTTTTTGTCTGCCACGCGGGAGACCTAGGTTCTATTCCTGGACACAACATGTATGTATTTTCTGCCTCAGGCAGGCCATTGGATTAGATGACCTCTGGGGGGCATGTCCCGATGAGCGTGCACATGCAGTTTGAGGTGCTGCAAACCAGAAGTGGTGCACATACACCCATTTGCTGTGCTGCTAATTTGCAGTGCAGCGGGTTTTTTTTTAAAGCAGGAAATACGATTTTTTGGAAACCGAGAGCAGTGTATTCCACCAAAAAGGGAGTCTGGCCAGCCAGAGCCATGCTCTGGCTGCTAGCCAGGTTATGAGCAGCTGGTTCAGCACCACTGCTGCTCTGGGGTGA